CTATTACCTTACCTTACCTTACCTTACCTTACCTTACCTTACCTTACCTTACCTTACCTTACCTTACCTTACCTTACCTTACCTTACCTTACCTTACCTAATTTAATCTCATCTCATCATATCTCATCTTATTTTATTCCAGAATCGTCCGGAACAAGGCCAACGACCGCGCCAAGTCCAGCAGTCCGCACGGACAGGACGGAAGTCCTAACTGCCTGGGCAGCGACACACCTGGACTAGGACCCCACAGCGCCTCGCCAGGTAGCGACGGCTCCCAGAGAGGAGGGGGGTCATCCACCAACGCCCCTGGGGGCGGGGCAGGAACGCCCGGAGCTCCTGCTGGAGGCTTCAACATCAGCAACATCATGAGTCCTGGTGGTAACAACAACAACAATAACAACAACAGTACGAGTAACAACAACAATAATAACAACAAGAGGAAAAGCGATATGGATTCGGGTGAGTTTGGGAGTGCTGTTGAGGTGTGTATGTGTGTGTGTGTGTGTGTGTGTGTGTGTGTGTGTGTGTGTGTGTGTGTGTGTGTGTGTGTGAGCTCGCTTAATTAAGAATTCAACTCAAGAACTGTTACTTACTTACGAGGAAATACAACCATTATGACGTGCAACTGTCACACTCAGACAGACAGTGTCATTCAAATCGCCCCCAAAGGTTGGCGCATTGTCTTAAACCTTGCTCTGAGACGGTTACGTGGGGCGGAACATAAAACACTCTTTTTAAAAAAGAAATGAAGACTGCGAAACTGACGTGTAGTCAACTCAAAAGACGAGAATAAGCTCGGAGAGGAATTCGGTCGGACATTGTTTTACTGAATGAAATGTGACCCTGTTCCAGATTCTGGACTGTGAACGTGCGGAGGTTTTTGTGGGTTGGCGAGTGGGGGGGGGGGGGGGGGAGGTGGGGTGGTGGAGAAGGGAGAGAGAAAGAGTGAAGGGGAGAGAGGATGGGGAGGTGGATGAGAATGGTAGAAGGGGATGAAGAGGTGGAGATAGAAGGAGGGAGGTAGAGACAGAAGTAGAGAAGAGCGGGAGAGGATGGAGAAAAGGGTGGGGCTGGGAAACTGGGGTAGGTTTTTCGTGTCGATGACAGCATCAAATTATCCTATTTCAGTAACGGGCCCTAGGGTCCATGTCCTTTTACTGATGCTTCCTGATACTTCCCGTCCGCTGACTCTCTAACTCTCTCTCTCT